CAGATTATCATTAGTTGGATACATTTAATTTCAATTTTTAAAAAGGAATTCTTTCGCTTTAGGAAGTATTAGGTGTGAAAATTTGTTTTTCTTATTTTGGTTATCTGATCCAGTTTTAAAGAAGAAAATAATGGCAAAAAACCCAGTAAGAATGTTCTCTAAAGTTTGTTGCAGAGTTTACTCCTTTTCTCCTTCACAAAATTCAATGTTTCAATGTGGAGCTGTCACAAACTGGAGGAAATCTCTGCCAACTGACTTACTGTTAATTGATTTCATATGATAATAATACCATTCCATGTCAGTGTTTTGGGGTAAATCTTCTGCTACCATTACAAACATTAATCTTTGTCTTATCCCCCCTTTTGATTTCAAACCTTGAATGTGAATGTTGACCTAAATGTACTAAGCCATTTATTACATTCTGATTAACCTGGGGAATATATGTCTGCAACCAAAGCGAGGCAGAGTTTTTATTATGAAAAGTTGATCAACACAAAGGCTTTATAAAAATTCATAATTAAAATAAATCCTGCTTCATTAAATAATTGCTTGTAGTCAAGCAGGTCTAAAACAAAGAAGTAGAGGGTGTTCTGGACACACTTCACTGTATGGTTGGACTTTAGTCCCGTGTCAAACTGAATGAATCACGTCACATCCTGTAAGAGCTGTTTCCCTATGTGAAAGAGAAAAGGAAAAAGCTTAATAAGAGGAAGCACTCTCTCTGTCTGTTGGCTTTTTGGCTCACATCTCTGAGAATCTGCCTGGTTTCGTAATCCAGAGTCGACCATGAAGTTCCATGTGCAGCAGACTTTCTGCTTCTTGATGTCTGTTTTATTCCTCTGTGTTGTTGCAGACCTTCAGGGTGAGAAGGAGAAAACAGTTCTTTGCAAAATGACCTTTGTCACAACACTTAAGTTATGTGTAATTTATGCTTTTGTGTTTGTGTATCGTACAGGCAGTGCATGTTTTTATTACACGAGTCTCTCTTTGAAAAATATCTGCATAAATCTGGCAGCTGCAATCAATCATCCCTGAGTGGTATTATGACAGTAATAATTATAATAAAAACAGAAGCAGTTTGGACCACACTGTTAATTTCATTACACTGTAGCTGTATATTAGACATGATTTGAAATATAATGAACATAAGGTTAACTTTACGCTGCACCTGCACTTCGTTCAAAGGTGAAAGATTGGAGATAACCAGGCTAGGTGTGCTGATAGGAGAGGATTGAAGATAAACTTTTCAGTAGGACAGGGTGCAAGTGTTATTAAGCAAATTTCTTTTTTGCTGACTTCATGCTGTTAAAGACTAAATGAAGTATTGCAGTGACTGTGAATAAACAGAAACAGATCTCATGCTCAACTCTGCTTTTTTACCAGGATAATTGTAGACACCACCCAACAAAGAATGTTTATGGTAAAAATAAATAAATAAATTAGCAAGTAGCCTTTTTCAAATTAATGATGACACATCACAGCTGGTTAGATTATTTAAATGTCTGGTTTAAACCAAAACATTATCATTTAGTGCTTTAGTTAGCGCCCTCACTATAAAGATGGGGATTAATTGTCCAGAGCAAAAGCTAAACTTTTCCCTTGATTTCTAAAAGTATTCAGCAGTTTGAGATGTTTCCTTGATACTGATTTATTTACACAATTGACCAGTTAATAAAATTTCTGACTTTTTTCTCTTTTGATCACCTACATGATATAGTCTTTTACTTCTTTCACATG